TACCTTTAATCAGTACATATTTTGCTTGCGTGGTATAATCTCTATGCATGCTTCTTTTTTTTAAATTCAGAATAAATTTAAGTCTCTTTTTTTTTTTTTTTTTTTTTTTTTACATGTTTAGTTCTCTACTGTATATGGTAACTGAATAAATACTTCTGATTATTTCACCCATAAAGCAGCCAAAATGCATTGAGTGAAATTTCCTTCTTATTGCGTAATCGCGCGCGTAGCTTGATTAGAATTCTCCTGGCAATTAATATGTAAATTTCTCAATGTCCAGTTCTGTGGCAACCACAACAAGAACTCTTAGCCTTTTCTAACTAACCTGAAGATTGTAAATAATTTCTTATTCACTTGTCGTTGTCGACGGCGTCTTGATCAGCAGAAGCTAAGTGCTACTCCAAACCTCAGGATGCGGGTTCGAGTCTCGCTTAATGCACAGTTGTTTTTGCGCAATCCTTTCACTTCTTGATAGAGTAATATCAGTCTATTCGATAATGAGGTGATGAAATGAAACATAGGTTAGACGCAGGGGTTCTCAACCAGTGGCACGCAAGAGAAAAGTAGGTGGTACGCAAAGAAGCAAAATATTTTAACTATTAAATTCAAAAATTAAAACCCCAACATATGACGGAGTTTTTTCTCTAACACTCGTAAATTTGTGCGATCTGAGCTTTGTTCAAGAGTGGTGGTAGTAGTATGTAGTGGTGGTACTAAAGGTTTTTAATTTTTGTTTAGGTTTGAAAAGGCACCAACACATTAGGAAAATCGTCTTCCAAATTTTTTTCATAGTTGTACTCTAGTACTACTCTTAAACAGTTTGGTATTTCATTGTAACATAGTGAATAGCATTTCTCATCTGTCAGCAAAATATTATACACTTGTGTGGCCTAAGTTTGTTTGGGACTTTCATAATATTTGTAAGCATAATATTCATAATTTCATAATATTCAGAATTTCATAATATTCAGAATATTCAGAATTGCTTCTTACAACTGCTATTCAGTTGCTATAATTGTTTAGCAGATTAAAGCAAAGCGCAAGAGAGCTTTCTGACTAGTGTGTGTATTTAATTATGGCAAAGCTCACTAGGGCTATCTGCCTAAGGGGAGGGATGCCTTCGGGGAGGACTTTCTAAGGGAAACTGGCTCATATACACGTTACACATGGGGAAAACCACGAAAACACCCATGCAGCCAGCCCGTTCGCGGGATTCGAACCTCTGACCGAACTACCAGTGTTCAGCGACTTTACCGCTCGGCCGCTGGTGGGTCCTTTCTGACTAAGGAACTAGAGAACTTAATTTTAATAAACTAGTGTCTTTATTAAAGGACTTTCTAATAGCTATTCGCATATATTCGCGTTATACATGGATAAACCACCAAAATCTCATGCATCCAGTCTATTCATCAGAAATCGAACCTGGTTCAAGTATGACAAACCTGCCTTTTCATAGTTCTGTCTGATATCTTTAAAACGAAAAACGCCCACTAATGATGTAACCAATTTTTCTGCTTTTTTCCTTAACTTTTATGCTGTTGTTGTGACTAATCTTTCTTTTCTGAATCAGAATAAGCCCACGAACTTCATTATGGCAAAGAGTACAAAATCATGCCTGACGTTTGCAAGAGTCTTGGGCACCATACAGGTGACAGTATGATTTTGCCCAGTTCCACCCCAATTTTGAGGGACAGCATCTGGAGGGGAGCCCGAGGGTCTTCCCCTCCCCCTACCACCAAACCATACGAGAGGACTTTCCGGCTGGCCATATATTTTAGACTGCCGCCACGCCACAAAGACACTATACATTTACGAACATCCATGCCTTCTCCGGGATTCGAACCCGAGCCCTTCGATACGGTAGTCAAGAGTTACTAACCACTATCTCGCTCGAGCGGTTCCCTAACTACTTATCTCGAGCGGTAAACTAATTAACTTTAATAACATCAAGTGGTAAACTTTAATAACATCAAGCACTGCATTTAGTAATTATGTAACTTTAGTATCTAACAGCATGTTTTCCTGCTGAACATATTTAGTAATTTTATTTTTTCTGTTCTGAAAAATAAATATCTATTCAGTGATTATTATTAGTTGCAATGAAATTCTCTAATACAAGAATAACTTAAGAGAACGAAAAGAAAAATTATTTCTTATTGACTGATAGCTGAAAAATACTGAGCAGTATATAATAACTGAAACAGCAGATGGGTAGACGAAGAACATCCGAAATAATAAGATGAAGTAATAATAACAACAGCAACGAACCCCTCTTGTTTTGGAGAGTTAAAATAAGTTGCAGTGAATGAGAACTGTTAATACGAATAAAAGAATTAAAGCGATAAGCGATAAGCGACGGAGGACGTGGGCACTGTCCCTTTACCATTTGGGTTAATCAGTACAGCACCACGTCCACCTTTATCTTACATTTCATATTACATTATATATTACGATACATGATTTACACATTGCATTATATACTACATATCAAATTAATACCTTATCCTAACATTACATTAACTTCACATCAACTTATTACATTAAAATTCTTTTCTAATAAACCCTATATTGGTACATTATAAAAGGGTTATTTTGCACAGGATTCGCATTAGACACAGGATACGCATTATATATATCATTATACACTGGGTACACATTACATTATATACGGGGAAATTAATGATACATAGGAACATTATACGCAATAGGGGGTTATAAGCACGATACGGGTTAGATTATTCACATGAAATTAGTTATACACAGGTATTGCATTATACAGGATAACTTATTCACATGATAGGCTTCTCGATACACTGCCTACATCGTTATGCATAATACTATTATAAAGTTTGCATTCACATTTCTTCAGTTGGGCTTTGCATTCTGTGTCATGTTGCTCATTAATCAGTACATACTACATTACATATTACATTGCATAATATGATACATATGGCACTATTACGATTACATTACGTATTACATTATATATTATGATACATATAACACTATTACGACTACATTACATATTACATTATATAATATGATACATATGACAATATTACGATTACATAACATATTACATTATATATTATGATACATATGACACTATTTCGATTACATTACATATTACATTATATATTATGATACATATGACACTATTACGATTACATTACATATTACATTATTTATTATGATACATATGACACTAATACGATTGTATTACATATTACATTATATATTATGATACATATGACACTATTACGATTACATTACATATTACGATACTTGGCTTACGTATTAGATAATGTACTACATATCAAATTAACAGGATAGTTTATCAGTACATACTACACTACATATTTTATATTGCGATACATGGTTTACACATTACATTATATTCTACACATCAGATTGACAAGACAAAATAACGCCTTACCTTAACATTACATTAACTTCCAAATACTTATTACATTAATTTTCTTTCCTAATATACCGTATACTGGTAACAGATACATTATCATCAGATTGTAATAATGTTGTTTTGCACTGGCTGCGCATTCAACACAAGATGCGCATTAAATTATACACAGGGAAATTAGTGATACGTAGGAAAAACATTATGCACAGAAGGGTGTATATACATGATGCGTGTTAAGTTACACGCAGGGAAATTTGTTATGCACTGGTGAAACATTATGCAGGATAAATTATACTGACTAACTTATACGAAAGTGCATATTACATTACTCCTTATAATTAAAGCCGGTAAGCTTTACAATGTTATTCTGTACCGAAGTTCTTTACACTTATAATACATTGCTTAATCATTACATTAATATATTTACCATGTACAAAAACATATAATGGATTACATTAGCATTCCTTAATATACATAGATTACTTTTGCATTTACAGTTAGCATATTACTGCAGAATTTTGCATCTGTGCATTTCTCCATTACTTACATTTCGCACCTTAGAATAGGTCGCGGTATATGGATGTGATGGTATTAGTACGCGTAGTACATGAACTGTCCTGCATTGCGTAATTTGCCAGTATTGACACGTTGCTGTTCTGTTGAAGGCAGTTATACGCGCTGCAAAGTGCATAGTTATATGCACGATAACTGACCTCAGTGCGTAATGTTCATTACTGACTCAGTTCATTTGCATTATTTACAGTTTTAGTTTGTGAGCTGCTCGTAGCACATCATGCCGATAGTTATATATACATGGAGTTTGTATGACATGGTTTTTAATTTACACGATACATGGCACATGGTAAATGGCGTTGCACACTCCACCTTGCATTTGCATATCATATCTTAGCACGTTTGCTTTAGATTAGACATAAGTCTGTGCCCACGTTCATGAGTTTATCAACTATCTTGTTGATTTTTCGGACAGTACGTTTGTCTTTAACCATAAATCTGCAGAAAGCCTGCGTGTTTGTAGTTGGAATTGGCAGGTGCAGATCTGCTGTAAGCGGGCATTGGGTAACATAATGATCTGGGGTGCCCATCTCACCACATATACAATGTGCATTTTGTGCGATCCCGTGTTTTTCATAGTACACGGGAAAAGGACCGTGTCCGGTAATGTATCGGACCATTTGTGCATGCACTATGAGACGGTCTGAGTCTACCGTAGGGACGTGATAGTGAGCACGGCGTCCTGTCTCACCAGTATCCCATTCCTCCTGCCAAACGGATTTTGCCTTGTGTTTCAGACTTTTCTTTAAATATGAAACTGGCCAAGGGATGGTGATATGTTCCGCATTGATGTTTCTTGCAGCCTCCTTTGCAAGTTGATCTGCTTGCTCGTTCCCCCTGTTGCCGACGTGGGCCTTGGTCCATTCTATCCTGGTGTTAAGATGGCTGTGGTCGCGCAGATGTGTCTGAATCTCTGCAATCAGTGGGGAGCTGTGCACAGGGTTCACAATTGCATACAGGGAGGAGAGGCTGTCTGTTATAATGAAGCTGTCTCTTTGCCGCTGTTGGATTATATAGTAAGTAGAGCTTGTTTGATGGCCATTACTTCACTCTGGAACACGCTGTTGTTTGTGTCCAGGTGACCTTTCCATTGTGCTATTGTGCTTTGCTGTCTGAGGGCAACATAGGCGCAACCTGTATTTTCATCTAGTTTTGACCCGTCGGTATAATAGACTAGATCATCTTCCTTTACATTGGTGTTTTGCTTGATGCTAATCTTTACTCCCTGTCCCTGCGTTGAGGGGTGATCGGCAAGGCGTATCATCTTTTGTTCAAATTCGGCTGGTGAGTATAGCTCGTCTCTGAAGGTGGTTAGATTGCCAAGTTGAGTGATCTCCTGATAGGCTGCTTCCTTTTCTACGCTCAGATGGAGCGGTAGCAATCCCGCTAGTACGCATAACGCATTTGTAGGGGATGTTCGGAAGGCCTTGGTGACATTCAGGAGAAAAGGCCTTTGTATGCTAAGTAGATGCTTGACTTTGCGGCCCTGCATAGGCGCTGACCAAACAGCCGCTCCATAAGTTATAACTTTCTCGGCTACTGTTGTGTAAAGCGTTTTCTGGATATAGGGATTGAGACCCCATTTATAGCCCTGCATATATCTTAGTTGTTGGGCTAATCTTGCAGTTTTCTTTTTCAGCTCCAGCACATGGGGGATCCAGTTTAATTTGGTGTCGAAGAGGATTCCTAGATATTTCAGCACTGGAGTGATGCGGAGGCGATGTCCGTTTAAAGTTATCCTTGGCTGTCTTGCCAGCGATCCGCCTTTTTTTGGGACGAGCAAAATTTGAGATTTGGCCTCTGCTATTTGAAGTTTTAGGGCTGTGCATCTCTCCTGAAAAAGGGAGCAGGATTCGATTGCATTGGCCTGGAGCTTTTCCCTGGTTCTTCCTTTGACGATTAGGGCTGTATCGTCTGCGTAAGCGATGATCCTTGTATGGTCAGGCCATGGGTTGTTGAGGACTCCGTTGAAGGTTATGTTCCATAGGAACGGTCCGGCGCATGAGCCTTGCGGGCATCCCTGTGTCTGATCTTGTTCTATAATTCCGCTGTTATGTGGAAGGATCAGCCGGCGGTCCGCTAAATAGTTTACGATGGTGTTGTAAATATTGCTTGGGCAGTTAGCGGTTCGTAGAGCTTGTAATATTGCTGGCCACCACAGCGTATCAAAAGCGCTCTTGAGATCTATTGAAATGAACGCTGTGTGGTAGCCAGAGGATCTGTTAGCCAGTATTTGGTTTTTGACTTCCATCAGGAGCATGTAGTGTTGATTTACCTGGGCTAAAGCCAAATTGAATTGGACTCAGGAACCGGGTTCTGTGCAGATGGTGTCTTAGCCTTGTCATGAGTATCTTTTCGAAAACCTTACCCAGGGTAGAGAGTAAGCAGATCGGTCTGAATGACTCTGGTCTCGTAGGATCTTTGTTCTTCTTCAGGAACAAGACTACATGACCGATTTTGAAACACCTGGGAAATGTCCCGGTACGAAGAAGCTGATTAAATAGCAGTTGGAAGATGTTGACATTTGTTCGCACTATTAATTTTATTATCCGGTTGTCGATGCCATCTGGTCCAGGTGCTTTACGCTGCGGAAGCTGGCGCAGGACCTGGAGTATTTCTGCAGTTGTAATATCAGGGTCATCCATGGTATTTATTTCAAGAGGCTGGTTTCGGACGATGGTATGAAAGGCTGTGTCTTCTGTCGGGTTGTCCTTGGTGAAGACTGTCCTTAGGATCTCTGATAACGTAGCCTCCGTGAGATGGTCATTAGTATTTGGCGTTGGCTGGAGGTAGAGAGTTGCCGGCTTGAAGAGTTTGCCAGCTGCGATTTTGTGGTGGATACCAAAGGTGGTCGTAGTTTCTGTGCAGAATTTTCTCCAGCTGCTTATCTTAGCTTCCAGAATCATTCGCTTATAGAGTGCTCGCTCCCGTTGGTAAATGAGCAGGGTGGAAGGTTTCTAGGTTATGTCTGCGCTCTTGCTTTAGGCGTCGCCGTAGAGCACGACACCGTTGTTGTTGACTTCGAAGCGTGCCATTCCACCAATTCAGCGTTGTGATTCTTTTGGCCGTGCGCAGGGGAAGATTTTCATCACATGCCTTCTTGATTGCGGTTAAGATGTCTTGGGTGAGGTTCTGGAGGGCCTCTTTGCTGTTGGCCTGTCTTATTGCGGTTGCAAAAGGTGCCAGACGGGCTCTAATGATGGCTGTGAATGCTCGAACTTTCCGTCCAGGGAGATTGTACCGTTTAAGAATAGAGGTGGCTGTGCTATTTGCTAGATTAAACCGTATATAATTATGGTCGGAGATACTAAGGTTTTCGACGACTGTCCAGTCTTGCAGTATGGGTGCCATCTGTTGGGTGGTGATGGTAAGGTCTGGCCAGCCGCGCGAGTGTAGTCTATTGAATGTAGGCGGTGCATCCGAACGATTGTGAATTACGAGGTTACTGCTGTGAACAAAGTCCTCGAGTATGCGGCCTTTAGGAGCTGTGATTGCATAGCCCCAGGTGGTGCTGTGTGCGTTAAAATCTCCAGCAAATAGTATGTTAGCTATTCGGTGCGATCTCATCAATCGTTGTATGCGTTCTAATGTGGGTCTGCTTCTTCTGTTGGTGGAGAGTAGATTGAAACCAGAACCACTGTTAGATTTAGTACCTCTAATAGTATTGCTACAAAGTCCCTTTCGGCTGCTATCATTAATGGTGACCATTTGGGGTTGCAGTTTGCTATAAATGCTCTTGGTGGTTGATCGATATCTTCTTTTTGATAAATGCTCCATTGTAAGGGGAAGCCGACTACTTTACCATTCCTGCAGTATGGTTCTTGACCTAAGATTAGGTCTATTCGTTCCTCTGCAGCGTAGAGAGCTGTCTGCGATGTTGCTGCACGTGCATGCTGTAGGTTGATCTGCAGGCACCTGGTTTCTGATTGTCGTTCCGACTGCATTATGTTAAGTGCATCCTTTGTCGTTGATGGATCTTTCATCTGCTTACTGTTTTCACATAACGAGGTCGTGCAAGCTGGTCTGTCATTAATAATCCGTATTGCTGCGGATTGTATCGACTGCCCGCTGGTAGACTGGGCATTCGGTAGCATAAGTCGGGTGAAAGAAGTTGTATCTTGTGCCCCATCTACAGTTTGAGTCCCCACAGTTAATACATGAGGGCTGCTCAGCTGTGCAACATCTGGTTGGATGCGGGCCGGAGCAGAAGCCGCAGAAGATCTTCTTTGACCTGCATGCGTCTTGACTGTGCCCGAACTGCTGGCAGCGATAGCATCGCCTGATGCCAATGAATTCAGAGATGCCATGGGATTGCCATGCAGTGAAGATGCGTCGGGCTTTGGTTGCGGCGGCAAATCCTTCTGCTGCGCATTCGATAATCCACTTGACTGTCTTTGGTCGCCTTTCTTTAAGTCGGATATAGCGCCTTGTAGAGCTTAGACGATGTTCCCGTTGTTGTACTAAGCTCGGAGATGATCTCCTCCGGCTTGGTGCTCTCAGGAACGTTGTGTATGGCAATCCTCGGTCGTCGTCGTTGGCGTCTCTTGACGTCGACATCTATGTTGGCTTTTTGTATATGCTGTTGCAGTTGGTCAAGTTCCTCTGCTGTCTGGCAGAATACCTCTAATCCTCCTTGTGGCGTAGGTTGGTATCTTTTCCACTGTGACTGGGATCTTTGTAAGGGGAACTTTTGCTTGTAGTTCTTTCCTTAGCTCTCCAGTGGGTTTCTTAGTGATGGGCTTGATTATGATGCTAGGTATTCTGGATTTACGCAATACCTCAGCGAACGTCGGAATGGAGGTATTGGACTGCGAAGTCAGAGCTGGTTCGCTATTGAGCTGTTGCACAGGGTGTGTGGAGGCGTGAACTGCTTGACAGCACACAAAGGTAGAAGTATTAGTGCCTGTCTCTTCAGTTACTGGCTTTGGTGCGTATGCTGGTCCTGCAAGTGCTAATTCTTGTAGGACGTCTAAGGACTTTTCCAATTGCTCCCTTAAATCTTGGGTTAATAGGAATTTATTTCTTCGAAACGTTGCAGAGATCTGCCGAATGTTTCCTGCTAGGACGGCTACACGTTCTTCGTGCGATAAGTCCGATGCCAATAAAGCTTCAGGATCTAAAATGCCTTGTGACTGGGTATTCTCTGTGTCGGTCGGTTGAAACGAGGGACGCGACATGTCAGAGCGGATACGTTGATTCTTGAAATGCACTGATTAAAAAGGCCCTTGTTATGTTGGACACTAAGGTATGCAAGGTGGGAGAATGCGTGATGTAAGCACTTAATATCACAGTGTGGCACCACCAGTCATATGCTTAATTTGTGATATCACAGGACATTAAAGTAAGTGAATCGGACAGTGAAGATGCGACATCAAGTGGTGAGGATAGCAAAGTTAGTAAATAAGAAAATGCACTTTGAATGTATGCAGGAATGTAATTTCACAAGTATGATAATAGGTAAATGGGTAATTCAATGCAGAATAACAACAGTATTTAATCAATTCAATACAGAAAAGCAGCAGTATATATCTTGACATTCCCAGGAGATACGCCAGAGGCTCGGAAATGAGGGTGGTGAGTACTGATGCGCAAGTCCTACGTTAAGATTGGAAAGTGGGGGAGAATCTACGGAATAATTAGTTAATGTGTTTTAGGGTAAGTCAGGAGGGCGCAGGGGTATAAGAGGAAAAGCTGGGTTCTGTTGTGTAGTTTTGAGACTGTTACGAGTGCTGATTAGTGGAAATTAGAAGTGAAAATGAGAGACAAGTGGTTAATTAAACTCATTGAAAAATATTAATTAGTATAGATAGGAGGGGATGGTGGTAGAATGAAGGAGGGAGTTTATGTTGGTAAATAGAAGTGGTACAGTGGAGTTACTACTATTAGTTGGGAAGTTGGAAGAGAAATAAAATGCTAATAAGGAGTGATTAAAAATAGGGAGAAAATAAATTTGAAGGGAGGTTCTAAAGTGTAATATTGTTGAAAACCTGAGGCCAAGCTGAGAGAGAGAGACTGAAAGAATTACAAGACTAAGTGTATTAGGAGGGAAGATATAGGAGAAATAAAAAGTAAAAAACGGAAAATAAAAAGGTAAAAAAAAAAATAATAAATATAATAATAATAATAATAATAATAAAATAAAAATAAAAAAATATATTAAAAATGAGGGGAGGGCTTGTAATTTTGAAACTATTGAGTGATAGGTTTTCAGAAAGAGGAGGAAGAGAGGATTAAGACATTTTAGGTTTGGTTAGTATCTGGGGGTTAGGGGCTGTGAAATAGGAGAAATTAAGTGAAATTAAACGAAATTAAAGCTAATGAAAAAGTATTTTTTGAGGGGTAACTAATAGGAGAGATTCAATGAAAGTTATTTATTATTGAAAGGGGAAGACTAGGGGGATCTTTTATTAGAGTTTGGTGTGTCTAGTACTATAATTAAAGAAGGGGGCTTAGGTTAAAAAGTTGAGATTTAGGCTTAGGAACCTCTGGTGATAATAATAACAAAAGTTGTCTATTTACTTTGTCCGACTCCGGACTTAGAAATTTTTGTAAATGCTGTTGCACACTATACAATACATGATAGCAGACACAGTATAT